ATATTGCTTAGTCTTAGCATTTAATAGTTCAATAGTGTATGATGGGATAAAAAGCATTGGCTTTACAAGACCCATAGGATGGTAAATGCAAAATAAGTACAAATCATTAGATTCCGACATGGAACTGAAATGCCAATAGTCTAAACCTGGTACATTACACCACAATGTGTTGTTTGTCACTCAGATATACTTGGTGCGATTTCGGCTAATGCAAATCGTAAGTTGTGATCAAAGTTTATTCCGCTTTCTGTCATGGTTTTCACTGTTGCCATTGTCGGAAATCCATTCTCACCTAAAAGTTGTGGACAATTGGGTCAGAAGCTTCGATGCTTTTTCCAATGTCAATTCATATTTGCCACCAACTTTTGCCCAAAATGTTGCTGGTTGTGTGTGTGTGTGTGTGTGTGTGTGTGTTGGAAATATAGTTTCAGTCCTGAAGGCGAATCGCCTATTGCTTCCATCTTGTAAATGTTCGATCGCTCAGTTACCTAGTTGGCTGAGCCATACTCGCACATTAGCGTTTACTCAGCGCCGTAATTTGACCCGGCGAACAACTGCCTGACTTAAAAGAACAACGATCGACGAGCTGCGCTGCTTTACTAGCTTCCTTTGGAATTTTAGATTGTAAAATTCCTTACCGAAAATTAGCCAATTCATTTATTACCCTCTAATGATTGCTCCTTGATGAATAATTGATAGTATGTAATTAGCTATATGCTTTGATATAGCTGCTAATGTTAATATTCTTTGGCTAATGATTTATGACCCAATCCTCGTACTTATATTTATCCCCCTTAAAATTCTATTTTATCCCATTGGAGGTACTTACCCCCAGGTTGAGAACCGGTGACTTAAAAGTGCGTGGCTGAGATGCAAATATGGGGCTGTACACACGCTGGGTTTGGGCATAGTCAGTGAAACGTGACAGCATTTCTGGCCTCGTTGGGTTGAAAAAGGAAATTCTCTTTATAATTCCAGACAGAGAAATCAAGACGTAACATGTGAAATGCATTAGTCATTTCGTGCAAGTCCGTTAATCACAAACCATGCAAAAAAAGATAGGTAAGCAAAACGCGGCCATATGAGATAAATAGCCAGCCAATCGTTGGCCAACCTTCGCGCCTCGTGCTATCACAATCAACTGTTTCTGCACACAAGACAGTGGCCGTTCTCGATCGATGACCATGACTACCAGTAGCCTGAGAATGTGGGGCTGCTGATTGCACATCAGGACGGTGATTGACTTGATGGCCGGTGCTCCGCAAGTGCCAAGTGATCGCCGAGGCGGCTCCATTTATTAATTTACGCGATTCTGCAGTCAACGATCCTATCCGGATGTCTAATCTCTTGGGAATGTGTTCTTTGCTCATGAAACCTAAAAGTCGGTTAGTGTGCCTGACATAGCGCTGTCTCCGCAATCGGATATGCAGTGCCTACTTATCAGTGCCTTGATGGAACACCCAAGCAGAGGTCTTGTTGACGTGAGCAACGGTAGTTCAGGTGCATTGAACGGCCGTTTCACTGAAGCACTAATACCTTTCGCGGGGACTTTCATTATATGACCATTTTTGAATGGCCGTTCGATAAAGATCAACTAGTTTTGAACTTTTGGTGTGTGATCTCGCTAGGCTGTGTCGCCAATGAGCTTTAAAAACTACATCGGATAACCGTTCGACTGCAGCGTCTCGAACAACAAATCTTTCCCTGTTTCTAATGTGTCCGGGATGCAGATCAAGTGGGCTCGATGAAACAAAATTCGGAAGAATGAGCGTTTGGGTTGTATAGGAGGAGAAACTACTAAAACGTAAATACAGTCCAAACTGCTGTGGTGACCACCTGTCTATGGCGACCATCTGTCCAAAGCGATCATTTTTTCCGGTCTCTTGAGTGGTCGCCTTAGACAGGTTTGACTGTAATAACATGTCCATATTGCTTTGCGGTAAACTGACCAGACCGAACCATCCAATCGTCGTGTGATCAGAATGTGTAGGTATAGAGGATAATTATTTGGTTCAATGTCACACATCGCTGTTAGGCTCGAGTGCATACTGTTGAATGTTTCGATTACACACACGATGTCCTTGTCGGAATCCATCATAACCAGTATATCAGCCACATAACGCTTATAGAGTCTGTAGAAAGTAGAAGTCACGATTAAAATTCACGCACAATAATATGCCTCGACGGGGAGTCGAACCCCAGTCCACGAATTTCCGGTCCGCTGCTCTACCACCTGAGCTACCGAGGGCTGATGATTAGGTGCGCAAATTTTAACACATGACTTCTGCTTGGTGCGCGACGTATTGCCAATGGGCTCACAGTACCTGTCCTGATGTTGCAGATTGGCTCACTCACACGTCACTTCCCAATGGACCGAAGTACCTGTCCTTCAAATGTTCATCTACCATCGCCCCTTGGACATTTGAAGGACAGGTACTTCGGTCCATTGGGAAGTGACGTGTGAGTGAGCCAATCTGCAACATCAGGACAGGTACTGTGAGCCCATTGGCAATACGTCGCGCACCAAGCAGAAGTCATGTGTTAAAATTTGCGCACCTAATCGTCAGCCCTCGGTAGCTCAGGTGGTAGAGCAGCGGACCGGAAATTCGTGGACTGGGGTTCGACTCCCCGTCGAGGCATATTGTTGTACGTGAATTTTAATCGTGACTTCTACTTTCTATAAACTTTACCCTACCCACAAACTTCCAGCTTATAGAGTCGCCGATTTTCTGATATCATCTGCCTTTTTTACGATCATGCCAATAAACACATCCGCCAACGAAGAGTCTAATGGTCTGCCTATCATAACATCGTCTATCTTTCTGTATGCATCCAACTGAGAATAAAACTTGATATCTTTCCTTCATAAAAGAAGCATGTGCTGCAACATTTCCGTGGGGAGCTTCAGTCGTACAAAACGTTTTGAGATAAACTCACAGAGTTAATCAGCGGACTCTTTCAGCGGGATGTTAGTGAAGTGGGACTGTACATCATGCGAAGATATTCGCTTTTGGGTCAACTTAACATACTTCAGGTAAGGAAGTAGTTCGGACGTGTTTGATATGATTTACCATGGATTTTCTGACAAGTTCAAGCATTTGTTCAGCCATTTCTCAATGGCGTGGTACGTTAAATTGATCGTGGGAATAATTGGTCACATAGACATTCCTTCTTTTCGTACATTTGTGGAGTACGGGTGCCCACAGGTTTTAGTGCTTGATATTGGTTTCCAGTGATGAAACCATGAAGCTTTAAGACTTTCTGTTCGAGATAAACTTGCTTCTGGAAAAAAGGAACAGTATCACAGGCAGTTTTCGACTTCGATTTTGTACCACCCGACAGTATCATCTCCATCTTACATACGCCCGTTAATTATTCGAAAACTCCTTGACCAGTTAGACTCATGATCAGCTTGCTGTTAACGATAGTCTGCTAACGCTTTGAACGTTAATTACAAGCCAACAGGTGGAGGCACCGAATACATTGACCGCGGGTGCGCATGATCAGTCGTCAGGAGCGTTTATGTGTGCTCCACAAGCTTATGGGTTTGTTCACACACCAATGTTTATTTCAGATGTTGAATATATTGACAGAATAACATGGGGAGTCCAAAGAATGGCGGCTTACCTCGCTGGCAAGCACACACTTTATCCTTATGTAGTATATAAAGACCATCCTATGCGACTTGGCAAGCCTTAACATTTTTACGCCCTTTTTACCGTTGTTCCCATTCTTCATGCTTTTTCATCGCAGAATGTTTGATACAGATAGAAACCCTTCTGTAGCTTCCATAGGTTACCAGGGGTTTCATGTGTATGAAGGAATACCGCGAAATACGAGGCGGCTTTGCAAGTTTGTTACAGAGTAGCAACCCACACATGGGGTGGCATAAAATGAAGCAAAAGTGTTTAGAGCAGCGAGAAGTAACAGACCCAAGCAATTCAAACGCGGATGTCTCTTTGTAACATCAACCAGTCACGGAGCTGAAATGTAGTACAGCATCGCTTGGTGAACAACCGGCGTCTCAAAAAAAAGCCAAGTGTTGTCTACGGGTAAATTTTGCACAAAAATGAGCTATGTAACCGCGAGGAGCATGGAAACAGTATGAGGAGTGAGGCTGAAGCATAGTGGTTAGACGAATGATGTTTAAAATGTAGGGTGTGACTCGAATACTGGTCGTTGCAACGATACGTAAGCGATGTGCTATACGCGGTATAACGGAGAAGACTGAAGCAACTGGAACCAACGCAGACAGCAGAAACTACAGGGAATGGACAACGAATTATCAGGAGCAGAGAGTGAGATAGCGCACGAATCACTGTGTAAACGCAGATGAGGGAAATTCAAAATTGAAGCTCAGAAGGTACAGAGACCATTAAAATCCAATGTTGCAAATCACTGGAACAGTAAAGACTTCAAGCTCATTGCAAACTCGAAAAGTTGTAAAGCGAACCCGATTTTATAGATGCGACACTTTCCACAAGATGATTACCAAGTACAGAATAACAGGAACTACATCTTTACTCCAGGTTATTTGCAATTGCTGCTTTTGACGAAACTATAGCCGATGCCTTTTGGATAACATACAAGCAGAGAATCATAATTTACTAATTACCCCTAACGCTTAACAAAAAACTACCGTTCGTAACTAGGTTATTACAATTTTTTCTTGCATAGTATGGTTAGGCTTTTGGTTGAGTCTTTGCGTATAGTACCTTATAAATATAACAGCAGGAAGATTGATTTACGCACAAGTGTATACTTTCGCGGGCCCGAAAAGCAAGAGTTTCTCATTCGTGCTGTACTCGTATCATATGAGGTGATGTAGAGCAGCATGGTAATACGACTTGTCAACGTTCACAAGGTTGGGAAGAAAAGTGCAAAGACCTACATTTTCCATGACTACCCAACATTGTATTCAGCAGACACCATCCTTTGCAGTAGCATAAGTTGACAGGCAAAAACGATGTCATCAATATAGATATTCCTTCTCATTTCAGGTCTTATCGCTTTTATCGAGTGTGGTTGGCCTTCTGTGTTTCCTTGTGAGCATCGCGAGCACTGCGTGGATCTCGAAAAATGGTACCCGCACAGGATTATACGAAGAGTGCAGACTGTCGACAAGCAATAATCCAGCGACTTCGAATAACTCCAGTTGCGTCATGGTGTTCACATCTACAAGTATGTTTGTATGGAAGAGCGGTGTGAACGTATGTGATTACATATGTGAGAAGTCACCACAGTATTCACTAAATCACGGGGGAAGCACACAGGACAAGGAAAGTGTGTAAGCATAATGTAGAGCAGTGACCAGTTTACGTAGTGTAGGATCTGTGAAAATCGATGCGTTGCGTGAACCCTCACTGTATGTCATCCGACTGTTGCACACTCGCCCTGTGTAGGTCCTAGAAGGAGCTACCTGAGGACGAATAAAGTAAGGAGATCCAGTTTGGTTATACATCTAAGGCTATTCGAGTGGAAACCGTTTCTTTTGACACAGATTACACCAGATGTTTGTACTAGCAAGCAACTGCAATCTACCCTGAGAATCATGAGGTGATGAATTGCCACTTTGCCGTAGTTCCTCATTGGGTGTTATTCACAGTGTTCATTGCTTTCACAACATTACAGACAGGGTGTCAGCTGAGCCGATCTACAGAGAAAGCAACAACTGCGCGCATAGGTCACTGAATAGGACTACAGCCGCTTTATCTTCTGCAGAGTCAGATAAAACCGTGCTTATCAAGCCCCTTGATGCATAGTATGCAAATGTATCATCCAACCCACCAAAAATCCGCTTCATCTCATACCAGCAGCTGAGGCGGTTGACGTTAAAATAGGAGTGACAAGTTTCATAATTTAATTGCACTAGTGTTGGTTAGCCGAGTTTACGCCAACCTCCAGTGAAGATTATTATCTAATTTTGTGACTGTGTGCAGTGCCCGAAGAAAGTATGTCATTGCATGACAAAAACGCTTACACTCGCAACCGACAATGTTAAAGGAGTTGGACTAGTGCGGATAGTCAGTAGGCTGTAGCGTCGACGGCTGCATTAGTGACACATTACCAATTTTACGGGGAACATAATAGATGATAATGAAGACGGAGAACATTACCAGTGAAATGCTATTCGACGAAACCAAGGGGTACGACACATTTGTTTTCTGGACTGGTTGTGAAATCAAAGTGGCTGGGAAAAGAAGCAGCAACTAACCAAAGAGTGGTTAAGCAAATACCGCCTGATGCATATGCTGATCGTTATTTTGATATGCGCACATTGTTTTCAAATGACTGAACTGTTTCTCTTTAGTCTTTGCCTTCTGTCTGTATTCGCACTGGAACCAGGAGAAAGCGCATTGTGACGATGAAGCACCGACAAAAGGTGAGAGTCTGGTGCCGATAGTGGTCCTGGTCACAACGGGATGCATATGGCCATGTTGTCTGATCCCTACTGCTGTCGATGTACCGAGTTTATGATCATCCAGTCTGTTGCTTAGGGAAAGTTGACAACCCACCTCCAGTCCATTTGCTCAGGTTCACCTAAAAGTTCGACATACCTTACTGCGCTACAGAACCTATACACAGTGCTCTACCGAAAATCAGCTTTCAGACCGGTGTTCAGTGGGAATTCTAGGGCATTGGCAGTTGGAAAACGACAGCCGATAAGTCCACTGGCTGTCGGCTACCAACCACATCATGAAGACACAATACGTAGTTCTTCCACACTCAGGTGAGCCTTGGAATGACCATGAAGTCAGGCTTTGAGCAGCTAGTAAGCGCATAGCGATAAGTAGCAAGCACGAATGCTGCTCTCGCCTAGAACGTAGCTGATGTTGGACAACCTTACTCTTATGATAATTTCCAGTGCCACACCGGTGCTCTCTGGACACTTTCGTGACCATTGCGTGAGCCCAGACACAGGTAGCAGCATGTGAAAAAGAGAGTAGAGTGAGTTCGGAAAATGCGGTAGATAATTACTACATTACACTCTCCGGACATCAAGCCTGTTGATCTATGTGACCGCGTCCTGCACACACAGGAGAGGTACTTGATGCGAATGGTCGACCCAAACCGGCTGTTATGGTGGGACTACCTACTTTTGGAAAGCCGAATCGTGTTATCCACCGAATTGAGACTATTGGGGAAAGTAAACGAATTGTGCTGCTACACCGTATTAACGGTTACCTGTTGCTAATTGAAACAGAGTAAGCAATGCTTTGATTATTTATGAACCATGTGCTCTACACCACTCGTTAGACGGAGCAATAAAATCACTATTTATTTTGTTTTATTGCCACTAGTGGAAAGACATGTCTGTCCTTGTAATTGCCGGATACCAGTTGTTGAAAGACCCATAACTGGTTGGAACAACAGTTTTGATATCGCGGACTTTTAAGCCACCATCGAGATCTCGCCAAAGATCCAAAACAGGATATTAGAGCTGATCCACTTAAACGGTAAAAAAAAGTCCAACGCGATACATCAGACACGACACGACAAAGCACATATGAAGGACGGTAGAGCAAAGTAGACCCGTAAACTAAAATCCGCTTGCGCCATCGCGATCAGGCCGTACAAACCGGAATTGTGAGTTCACAAATGGTTCACACAGATTTTAGGACCACATTGGCTCATGAATTTATGTACACACCACAGCTGTGGCCTAACTAACAGCAGTAATCAGTAAACCGAACGTATCTTGTCGACTCGTATGGCGTGTTCACAGCATATAATTGTACTAGCATGAATAGCAATGTTTGAAATTGTGTACGCCAACTCACTAACCGGCTTATTATCTTGGCATTTTGCAAGCCTATTCACTATGAATTCACAAGTTCGGTAGACAACTCTGCACTGATGTTACTCACGTACATCAGTGGCATGTACACTTACCAAAGCCGTTACACAACAAGTCATCCATTATGAGGTAATTGTGAGGAAATCTCCTTCCGTTTGCTGCCTACAGGGGAACGCTTGGCGTGCGCTGTACTGGGTCCGACTGCTCTGATCATTATTGTGATCGGAATTCTCCTGTTCATCGGAGCCATGTTAACTATGGATGTCCGGAAGAAGTTCATATTCTACAATTCTGTTATCATCATATACACGTTAGCAAGTGAGTTATGTAGTTGCAATATTTTAATCTTATCACCTTACCAACATTTGTATCCTACACAATGAGTTAAAAAAGTAAAGAGGAAAACGAAACGGTAGTTTGAGGGGACACAAACAAGTAACTAGATTGTGAGCATTACTCACTAAGTAACCACTCGTATGTGGCAATTGATGGAGCCGATTATGACAGAGGCGAACATGTGAATGGCGGTCAATCAACCGCAGTACGACTCAGAATGCCGAAGTATTTTCTGAGAAAACAGACAAGGGCCATTGAAGAACCTTGTGCTGATATGTGTGATCCGATAAAATTAAAGCCCAGTAAACTCATCCTGATTGCGTTATTACTTCTCCGATTTTAGGCCTGGCTATACTGACAACAATCATCATCTTACCAATCTCAGTAGACAAGATAAAGTCCATGGAAGTGGAGATCGTCAAGGACGGAACACAAACTATCACAATGGGATGGGCATACATTATGGTCCTCTGTGGTCTCGGTTGCCTGCTTATCGCAATTATCTTGTTGGTGGTGGACAGGAAAGCAGACGAAGTGGGCTACAGAGAATGTGTTCATCGGCCATAAGCAAGAAGAGCCTAACAGGATCAAACAAATGAAAGAAGGAACGAAGCGTGATGCGAACCATTCAGTTCCGTTTTATTTGCTATACTTTGAAACCCTGCATATGCCTTGAGACACCGACATGTGTTGTGAGAATTGCATTTTGAATGAACCATATTTGCTTCACAGAGGTACCATGGTTTATTGTGGGTGAAAAAAGGCATGACAAATCTTGCAGGACAGCCAGGTGGAGAGCTACAAAATCAATAATGAGTCTGTGGGCAGAGCAAACTTTCCATCAGTAGAATGATTACTAAGTTCGAATAATTATAAATAATACTACACCCACTTAGATTCCAAGAAGAATGTGGAAGGGAACACTGCTTGTTGGCCTTACGTAGTCTTTCCATGTCACTTAAGGTAAATGGGTTGGCTGTTCATCAGTCAGTCATCAATCACATAGTTTGGAAGGCCATTCCACAGATGATGCAGCGTGTAATGACATGATTTGGGGGGCGCAAGTTGTTTACATTGCGTAGTTAACTTTATCTGCTGGCCTCGAAACTTGGTTTTGTGGCTCAGTACCAAGAAGCGGTGGTTAAAATATTTGAAGCTCTACAAACTGTCACACAATCATGTGGTCGAATCTCTGAGTTACTAGGTGAGACGGAACAAGCCCTTATCATTCTCAGCCGCCATCTGTTGCGAAGTTCCGATTGCGGCAAAATCATGCTTCTGCTACAGAAACTTAACCTCAATAGCGTATTTCGCATGGGGATTATTTAAACGATAAGTGGTTGAAGATGGGTGGAGCAGTCAAACCACCGGAAGGCATTTCGTCTTGAGTTGAATGGTTAATATCGTCCTGTGCGAAACTCACAAATCGTTCTCGTGGGAAGCATGTTTACATAGTCCATTCTGCTTACCGGCGGTGGTAAATGCTCTGAAGGTGTACGCTAGACACACGGCAGTTGTGGCACCAAATCAGATCACTTTCTGAATCAGTCACATGCAAGCATTGTTGAACTTATCTTGGAAAAGGGATTTGTCAAGGATAAAAAGTAGACGCTTAATATTTTTCCCAACGTAGTGAGATCAAATTTGGATGCATCAAAGAAGTGGGAACGCGTAGCAATGGACTCACCAAAATCTGCAATATACACACACTTTACTTACCTTGCCCCTTGTCTTAATGACTTGGATTAAATCATGTAATTTAGGTAAAGTAATGCAGCATCAAGTCGAAGCTTGAAATCAGCCCACGTGTGGAAGAACATTCCACAACTGGGATACACAAATGGAGAAAACATTCTGGCCACATTCCAGCCGGATATACTGTATGGCCAATGTCAAGTGGTGGCATCTCAGTGAGGTTTTGCGGCTGAGTTCCAGTAAGTGTAGGCATGGGTGCTTAAGATCCCTGAGAATCTGATACGCTAATATATCACCTCACAGAAGACGACATTACTCATAAGAAAACCCCTAGAGTAATTTGTCTAAACTAGTAAGGGAGGTGGAGCAATCATTCAAAATATTTTGTAGCCCTTCGTTTTGGCTTCTGAAGAGCAGTGAGGTTACCTTTTTATCAGGGATTCCGCACTTAGATGGCGTATTTTACATGTGGCCTCAGGTTAGCGTTCAGCATCTGCGAAAAGAAGGTAGGATCAAACCAGCCAAATGCGATCCTCAGTAAGCCCAAGTGTTGGTTGGCTTTTCTCACTCCCGTCTCGACTTGTTTTGAGCATCTGGGATTGTCCTGCACAAGTAACTCAAGATCGTTCTCATGAGAAGCTCGCTGTAGAACATGATATCCCAGTCGATATCCGGAGGTGATCTGATGGCGTATGCATAGAATTTTACATATGATAGTGTTAAACTATAGTATGTTCTGAGGGGACCAACCTTAAACCCTGTTGAGATCCTCTTGCAATATCATTTGGCTGTCTATTCACTTGATTTACCGCCAAACCTAATGATTGTCCGCAAAAGAGTAGAAAGTTCGGTGACAGCACTCCCACGAGTTGGTTTATGAACACACGGGGTAACCGTGGTCTTAGTACCGAGCATTAAAGGACACCACCGTAAACCTCACTCCGGTCGGACAGGGCGGCACGAACCCGTAAATTCAGGCGTCGTTGGATTAGGAATGAATGTATCCAGCCTAGAATAGGGTCACCGCTCCCATAGCTCCGAAGGTTGCAAAGAAGAATGCGGTGATCTAGGCGACCAAATGCCTTCGATAAATGAAGCTAGGCGGTTTCTACTGTTTCCCTAGCGTCGAAGGATTACGTCCAACTAGCATGGGCTGACAAAAGTTCTTGGTACATGGGTGGTTTTGGCGGAATCCATGATGCCCCTGCGCAATGATATTTCACATCTCTACCTGTCCCATTAGTGCTTCTTTAACAGCGGATTCCATGAGTTTAGCAAGCACTGGAAGATGAGCACTAGGGCACAGAACAAATTCTACCTTGTAGGCGAGGGCGACTATTCCACGCTTCTACATTGTTAGGACCCGCTAGTCCTCGAGACAGCTCTGAAAAACTATGGTAATGGTTCAGCCAAGCTCATGGTACCTACCTCCAAACAGTTGGGACGTATGTTATCAGGATCAGATGTACTGTACTCGCGTAGTGACATCGGTCGCCTCAGCACATCCGAGGCTGTGAAGGAGATGTGGCTCTCCTAGTGATTAGGTGATATATGTGGAAATGGCAAGAGACGGCGATAAGTTCGAGAAAGTACAAGCGAATTGACGTCTAAGAGAACTAGCTGCTTCTTAGAGTATTTGCGCTTACCCACATGCGGTGTTTATAGGAGGGATACTTCGCTGTACTTTGCGATTGTGGTTCACATGCCTGTAAAGTAGCTAAGGGATGGAGCAGAACTTCTTCGCCAAATCCTGTTGGTATTTCAATGTTACTTTGCGGACCGGTTTGGCATGATGGTTTCGTACAGTTAGGTAGGTATTTCAGTTTGCGGGGTTTGGGTCGGATTTGAATGTTTCAAACGTTTATTTCTCAAGATCATTCGTTTCCGCGTCCTGCGCTTCAGAAAGGTCTTTACCATTTTTGAGCAACAGAGTTTAGCCACTGGTACATCCGTTACTAAAGTGCTGAACTGATTGTCGAACTCCCCTAAGGGAAACAGCGGGTTTGTTCAGCTAGAAACGACCAACCGGTGACCATAATGGGGACGAATAAAATGTTTTGATAGGTTACTATGCGGACCTCTTGGATGTCCCTGTAGAACTGTTCTGCACAGCAGGCCTATCGAATAAGCATAGTTGCTTGATCGCCACACCCCGATGGGATACTAACTGTTACTGGGTTGGCCTTAAACTGCTCTCAAGCGGAGGTCGGAACATCTGCAGCGTGCAAGTTGACGCCTCCCAGGTGGAGAACAGGCGTCAGAACGATATTCAGTACAGAAGCTAGACTACTGTCCAATTCCAGAAGAGACATGGGACAATAACCAATGAATTGTAACGGGCTAGAAACATTTATTGACAGGTCCCGTAGGATGAACGGAGCGAGGGTTACAAACTGAATGGCTAAAGTGACAATAAAAAGGAAAAATTCGGATTTGAGGTGACTCGCCGAGTTATTCATATGTGCACACGTTGGGGTGCTTACGGCTAAGTAACGGATAGAGCCGGCGAGCACAATATTTGCTTTACTTTTCCTTTCGGTGCAAGCAGATTATATCGCGTAATGTAAATGGGATGCCGTGTGAGCCAATCGTTTCTTAAAAAGTGTTGATATGGGGGGGGCGAAAATAATAGAAGGAAAAGCGTTCCAGGTTCTGGATAGGCTAAAAGAGAAAAAGTTTTGTCAGCAATCAAATCGACTGTTATGTGTGGTCACTTTGAGCTGCTGACCCCCTAGGTTGGTATAGTGGCTGACTTGCAACAAATCGCGACAGGCCTGGTTGGGGTTGGTCGGTATTTGGTACACCATAATAAGGTCTCCTAGCAGGCGCTGGTATTCGCCACTGTCCAAGCCTAGAGCTTGCAGTCTGCATTAGTAGAAGAGGTGAAACAGTCCTTCAACAACTTTCGTCACTCTACGTTGTGGAGCTTTGAGCGCAGCGGGTAGGCGCACAGCATTTGTGGGAAGACTGATGGGTCGAACTATCCGAACGCCATTCGTAGGAGGCCAAGGTACTGACTGGTTCTTCTCGACGCCTTTTCGGCCTGTTTCGAGCATTCAAAAGCCGTCCTGCACGATTACCTCGAGGTCGCTTTCCTGCGTAGAATGTTGCAACATCTACGCACCCAGTCGATATACATGAGTAAACTAATGGCGTATGCTCAGGACTTTGCATTTCGCCGTTAAACTGGAGCCGGTTTTCGGAGTGTATACCCTGCAAAGGGCCAATAAACTTGTCTTAGTTGCAGGCGGCGCCGGAGTGAGTCCATAAGTTGGAGCGCTGGATCGTCAGCGACTTGAACATGTAGATCAGTGCGACAGCACAAAAGCACACCACTTTCCCTACTAGGTCGAGTTTTATTTTGTACGGACATACCTGACAGAACGATCTCCGCCTCCATGCTTTCATCGTTCAGCTCATTCTCAGTTACTATTACCACTTCCATAGGGTATTAAGGCTTAACGAAATTGAAGCTCGGATAATTTTCTGACGAAACGCTGAGCATTGGCGTACATACAAGAGAGTGCTTCGAATGTCTGTATTGAGCGGTTCGAGCGTCAGGTGTGAGCTTTTGCCGACCCCTGTGTGGTTGGCAATTAATCGTCCTTTGGGTAAACCTCTAATGTTGAACTTTGAACCGCTTCATATTGGCTGGCAGAATAAACACAGGATGAAGTCCCGGTTACATTAAGTATTAGGAGTCATTGTCACTTCAGCAGTTGGTTGTGCCTCGCAGTGGTCCGGTTCGGAAGTAGGACGTACTGGTGCCACTGTTAGACCCTTTCCTTCATCTGATGCCTGGTGTTAAATTCAGTTAGACGTTGCTCTAAATCGAGTTTCTTGTGCCACTTGTGGCATGTTTCAAATGGGTTTTCCACTATGTGTTTGGCCTGGAACAAAACGTTCATCACCTTGGGGCACACCCTTGGTGCTTTGAGAATGCTGGTAGTCCTGTGATCGACTTGGCAACTATGATGTCGAGTGAAAGCGCATGGCGAATGAAGCGCCGTTCCACCCATTTATTAGCCTGCGCT